TAGTGGAACATATGATCTTGGGAATTTGGAATTGGAGTTGAAAAGAGTAAACATAAGATGTTCATTTATTTTACAATACAAAAAAAAAAAATAGCCAGAATGGTAAATGCTAGTAGAAAATACAATCTTGGAAATTGTTGCTTCATGGAATTGGAGTTGAAAAGAGTGAATATAAGATGTTCATTTTTTACAATGCAAAAAAAAAGCAGCCAGAATGGTAAATGCTAGTGAAACATATAATCTTAAAAATTATTACCTTCATTGAATTGGAGTTGAAAAGAGCTAATATAAAACATTCATTTATTTTCAATAAAAAAAAAAGCAGCCAGAATGGTAAATGTTAGTAGAATATATGATCTTGGAAATTTGGAATTAGAGTTAAAAAGAGCAAACATAAGATGTTCATTTATTTTACAATACAAAAAAAAAAAACAGCTAGAATGGTAAATACTAGTAAAACATACAATCTTGAAAATTATTGCTTCATGGAATTAGAATTGAAAAGAAAATATAAGACATTTATTTATTTTCAATACAAAAAAAAAAAAGTAGCTGAAATGCTAAATGTTAGTAGAATATAAATTGCTACATTAATGGAATTGGAGTTGAAAAGAAAAATATAAGATGTTCATTTATTTTACAATTCAAAAAAAAACAACCAGAATGGTAAATGCCAGTGGAATATATGATCTTGAAAATTACTACCTTTATAGAATTGGAGTTGAAAAGGACAAACATAAAATATTCATTTATTTTCAATACAAAAAAAAAGTAGCCAGAATGGTAAATGCCAGTGAAACATATAATCTTGGAAATTACTACCTTCATAGAATTGGAATTGAAAAGGACAAACATAAAACATTCATTTATTTTTAATACAAAAAAAAAACCAGCCAGAATGGTAAATGCCAGTAGAACATATAATCTTGAAAATTACTACTTTCATGGAATTGGAGTTGAAAAAAATAAATATAAAACATTCATTTATTTTACAATACAAAAAAAAAAATCAGCCAGAATGGGAAATGCTAGTAGAACATATGATATTGGGAATTACAATCTTCATAAATTGGAGTTGAAAAGAGCGAATACAAGATGTTCATTTATTTTCAATGCAAAAAAAAAACAGGTAGAATAGTAAATGTTAGTGAAACATACAATCTTAAAAATTACTACCTTAATGGAATTGAAGTTGAGAAGAGAGAACATAAAACACTCATTTATTTTCAATACAAAAAAGAAAAAACAACTAAAATAGTAAATGTAAATGAAATATATAATCATAAAATTGCTGCCTTCATGGAAATGGAGTTAAAAAGAGCTAATATAAGATGTTATTTATTTTCAATACAAAAAAAAAGCAGCTGGAATAGTAAATGCTAGTGGAACATACAATCTTGAAAATTACTACCTTAATGGAATTGAAGTTAAGAAGAGAGAACATAAAACATTCATTTATTTTACAATTCAAAAAAAAAAAAAAATAGCCAAAATGGTAAATGTTAGTGGAACATATAATCTTGGGAATTTGAAATTGAAGTTGAGAAGGGAGAACATAAAACATTCATTTATTTTCAATGCAAAAAAAAAACAGTCAGAATAGTAAATATAAGTGAAGCATATAATCTTGAAAATTGCTATCTTTATGAAATTGGAATTGTAAAGAGCTAATATAAAACATTCATTTATTTTCAATACAAAAAAAAAAAATAACCAGAATGGTAAATGTTAGTAAAATATATGATCTTGGAAATTACTACCTTCATGGAATTGGAGTTGAAAAGGATAAACATAAAACATTCATTTATTTTTAATACAAAAAAAAAAAGTAGCCGAAATGGTAAATGCTAGTGGAATATAAATTGCTACCTTCATGGAATTGAAATTGAAAAGATAAATATAAGATGTTCATTTATTTTCAATGCAAAAAAAAAGCAGCTAGAATGGTAAATGTTAGTGGAACATATGATCTTGGAAATTACTACCTTAATGGAATTGAAGTTGAAAAGAACAAACATAAAAATATTCATTTATTTTTAATACAAAAAAAAAGCAGCCAGAATGGTAAATGTTAGTAGAATATACAATCTTGAAAATTACTACCTTCATGAAATTGGAGTTGAAAAGAGCAAACATAAGATGTTCATTTATTTTACAATGCAAAAAAAAAAGTAGCTGGAATGATAAATGTAAGTGGAACATATAATCTTAGAAATTACTATCTTAATGAATTTGAAGGTAAAAGGAAGAACATAAAACATTCATTTATTTTCAATACAAAAAAAAAAAACAGCTGGAATGGTAAATGTAAGTGAAATATATAATCTTAAAAATTGTTGTCTTTATGGAATTTGAGTTGAAAAGAGTTAATATAAGATGTTCATTTATTTTCAATACAAAAAAAAGTAGCCAGAAGGTAAATGCTAGTGGAACATACAATCTTGGAAATTACTACCTTAATAGAATTGAAATTGAGAAGAAAGAACATAAAACATTCATTTATTTTCAATACAAAAAAAAAAAAACAGCCAGGATGGTAAATGTAAATAAAACATATAATCTTGAAAATTGCTGCCTTCATGGAATTAAAGTTGAAAAGAGCTAATATAAAACATTTATTTATTTTACAATACAAAAAAAAAAGTAGCCAGAATGATAAATGTTAGTAAAACATATGATCTTAAAAATTACTATTTTCATGAAATTGGAGTTGAAAAGGACAAACATAAAACATTCATTTATTTTTAATACAAAAAAAAAGCAGCCAGAATGGTAAATGCTAGTGAAATATAAATTGCTACCTTCATGAAATTGGAGTTGAAAAGAAAAATATAAGATGTTCATTTATTTTTAATTTTAAAAAAAAGCAGCCAGAATGGTAAATGTTAGTGGAACATATGATCTTGGAAATTGCTACCTTCATAGAATTGAAGTTGAAAAGGACAAACATAAAAACATTTATTTACTTTTAATACAAAAAAAAAAGCAGCTGGAATAATAAATATTAGTGGAACATACAATCTTGGAAATTACTACTTTAATAGAATTGTAGTTGAGAAGGGCGAACATAAAACATTCATTTATTTTCAATACAAAAAAAAAAAAACAGCTGGAATGGTAAATGTAAGTGAAACATATAATCTTGAAAATTGCAGTCTTCATGGAATTGGAGTTAAAAAGAGCTAATATAAAACATTCATTTATTTTACAATGCAATAAAAAAAGTAGCTGGAATAGTAAATGTTAGTGAACATACAATCTTGAAAATTACTACCTTCATAGAATTGGAATTGAAAAAGACAAACATAAGATGTTTATTTATTTTGTAATACAAAAAAAAAGCAGACAAAATAGTAAATGTAAATAGAACATATAATCTTTGGAATTGCTATCTTCATGAAATTGGAGTTGAAAAGAAAATATAAGACATTCATTTATTTTCAATTTAAAAAAAAAATGTAGCCAGAATGGTAAATGTTAGTAAAACATATGATCTTGGAAATTTGGAATTGGAGTTGAAAAGAGTGAACATAAGATGTTTATTTATTTTACAATGCAAAAAAAGCAGATAATTTTATCAGTTAAGTAAATTTGTAATTATTAGTAAAATAATCATATTAGGAAAATAATATATAGGATGAATATGATATGTCGGAAAAATGATCATATCAGGTGAATGATATGTCAGGTGAATGATATGTCAGGGAAATGATCATATTAGAGAAATAATCATGTTGGGAAATTATCATGTCAGGGAAATGATCTTGTTGAGAAAAATGATTGTCAGAAAAATTAACAGGTTGGGAAAATGATTATCAGAAAAATTAACATGTCAGAGAAATGATTGTTGGGGAAATGATTATAGGGGAAGGGGGTGTCAGAAAAATGATTGTTGGGAAAATGATAGAAACCCATAAACAATTTATATTAGTTTTTGTTAAAGTATAAGTAATATAGTAACTATACTTTTTTTTTTTTTTAAAAAAAAAAACATATTTTTTTTAAAAAAAAAATCTATGCTTTAAATTTTTTTTTTAATAGTTCCTGCATTTATGATTAAAGGCATTGTGCTGCTCGTACAGTTTTAGGTGCCAAATTACATCTGTTTTTAGTGATCATATTTCTATTAGCAGAAAAGAAACATTCGGAAGCAACAGAAATTATAGAAATTACTAGGTAGTTATAAGCTATACAGAAAAGATAAAAATACTGGATTTAGTATACCTATATAAATATATTAAATTAATTTATTAACAAATATATAGGATCTTTGTCTTGAAAATGACTTTGAAATATATAGTAATCACTGATTACTATATATTATAAAGTTATTTTCAAGGCAAAGACTTTATATGCTGTATTTATTATTATATCTTCTATTATGCCAATATTTTAATTGCTTTGTTTACTAAGGTTTTCTAAAATGAAATATTCAAGTTCATCTAACTTTTCATCATTATCATCGAAGTTTGCATCTAGTATTGATTATATAGTTGGTTTTATAGCAATGTCATAATTCAAAAAGTTATTACTAGTAGTAGTAGTTGGCATATATTTTATTTCATAAAGATCATATATTTTAAAAAAAAATTTGTATAAATATAGTGATAAAAAATTGAATATCATGAAATTGGATCTGAAGTTTTTTTTTTTCAGTATTAAGGTGACCTCATTGGTCTTTTGACTTTATTACTTCTGTCAGGTATCATAATAAGTATATAACTAATTACATATGTAATTTTTTTATATTACTTATTTAAGAGGTTCACCTAAAGGTTTTCTATCAGTTGCCATATCTAACACCTCTGCTTAAGTATTTGATTTAAACTCTCTAATCTAAAACTCTTGTAACAACTTTACTAGATCAAGTTCAGATTCTCATCTTAACCTTAGAACTATTTTATCCTCGAGGTAAACCTACCAGAGCCTTCATATCCCACACACAGCTAACCTGAATTTTATATAACATATTATAGTTACCTAACACTTGCAATCAGAGCTAACCTTAAACTGTTACATTATACTATTTTTACTCTTGTAAAGTTCATTCAAACCCTGGTACCTATTTTTCCAACTTCTTCTTTTCATCCTTCTACTATCCAACTTAAAATTTGACAGACTCTCAGACTCTTAATTCAAAAGGCCCAGTATAGTATACCTTTTGGTTTCCTTTTCTTCTGGTGATTTCAGCAGCCTGGTTGGTCATGTGCTCCTCTACACATTTTTTCATTTGGTTGCATCTGTCTATTCTTTATTAGGATTTCTTAGACTTCTATTAGTCTAACAGCACTATTGAAGGTTTGTGCTATCTCTTTCTTAGGATTTCCAAGTAGGATTCTATCTTCTCAGTTTTTTGATCTTCTATATTTGATAGTTTTATCATAGGTTTGTACTAAAGTCTTATGCAATCCTAATTTAACATTCCTCTATATATATGTAATGTTATACTTCATATAGATGCCCTGAGCTCCTAATGATAAGTAGAACCTGATTGGTTGTACTCAAAATTACAGATACCTAAATTCAACTAATCAACAAAAGACAGTTTTGCCATAACATAGATTAATTTCCAAATTTTGTTATAGGTGGGATTTGAACCTTAGACCTGCCATTTGGAAAATGACAACCCAACCACTACACTAGGATCATCATTCTTAGATCTGAAATATTTAAATATAACTTAAATCTAACTATAAATAGTAAATTGAAAAAAAAATAAATTAAAATAGATTCAACTTTTATAATCAGTATTGTCTTTGACCAATTGGATTTAGTAATTGGTTCAATTGGTTCAATTGCTAAGTCCAATTGGTCCAAAGAACAACACTATTCACTATTATCTAATTTCATGATTCTTGTTCTCAGTAATAATTAAAATAATAATATACAAAGCCTTTGTTTGATCAATTTCATCTTCAGAGAATTTTCTCTTAACAAAATAATGAAATATTTTGTGAGAATCTAAAGCTGTACATAGTATAATAGTTGCGTTAGTTTTGGAGTAATACTAAACAAGTTTTTCTTGTGCTGCAGTAGCTGCTCTGGTAAGTGGTAACATAATAATTAAAATTATTGTAAGTAATAAATCTAAAAAATTCCAATAACTTTAGTGTTGGCAATTTAATTTATTAATCAGACCAATTGGACTATATCCAATAGGTCTAATTGATAGGTCAAATTGCCAATACTTCTAAAACTAATTTTTAGAATTTAAGGCCATATCTTCAACATAATTAAGAATTATATTAAAGAGAGGAATAATCTAAAAAGCTGTACAATATGAACTAGATAACATTTTGATTTTTAGATCCTTAAATGGCTTAAGAAATTTGGCAATTTTTTCTATAATTGTTAATTAATTACAAGAAATGGCATAGTTATGAAGATTATCATGATTGCTTGTAAAAGTATTTAATGACTACAAATATTATAGGTCTGCACAGTTAACATATTAATAAAATTTTATAATAGTAATATTATTAATTAATTAAATAAAAAAATATTATATAATAGTAATAATAAATAATTAATTAATTAAAATATAACTCATAAAATAATAAATTAATGATAAATTAGAATTTCTAATAAATAAATTAAGAAATAGATAAATTAAATTAAATAATAAAATTAAAAGAATTTACTAATTTACTTCAACATCTAATTAGCTACTAGTTATTTACTTAGTAGAAGATTTATATTATTAATTAAATTTTTATACTTTAATAATAAAGTTGAGGGCATCTATAAATTAAATATTAGTAAATTAAATAGTAATAAATTAAATAATAATAAATTAAATATTAATAAATTAAAGTTTTTTAATAATTAATTAGTTAATTTTTAAATAAAAATATATATAAGTGTTGCCAAAAGAAAACTAGATATTAATTATATAAAATCTATATAATTGATAACAGGTTTTCTCTTAGTAGCACTCATATAATAATTAATAAATTATTAATATAATTAATAAATCAATAAAGTAAAAAGCCTACTTGCTTAAGAGATAGCCTATTCTTAATCATATCATGAATAGAGTTTCACCTAGTAGAACAATTTAGAATAGGTTTGCAAAATTTGATATAGCATGCATTACATGTTTTTTCAAATAGCTCAATATGTTAAGATGATGTACAAATAGTGAAATTAAGTTCTTGAATCTTAATTGTTTGAGTATAATAAAGTTTTTTTTTTTAAAAAAAAAAAGTTTTGTAAAGTTCATACTAATATCTTACAAACATTTTTCTCTATTTTAGCTAGAGCTGCTCTTGCATCCAAATTAAGAATATGGTTAAAGCACCAGAATCTAAGTTGTTCAAAGTTCTATTCTAAATTTTATTCTTTTAACTTTACAGACAATTTATGAACAAAAGTACTATTATTTGAAGCATTATCTAAATTAATAGCAAAAAACTTCTAGAAAAAAAAAGTTATAATATTTTTTTATATAAAATTAAAGCTAAACTAAGCATAAATGAATGCATTTTATGCTAACTTAGCATAAAGTCAAATTATTTAATGTTAAGTTTAGCATAATATAAATTTGGCTTTATACTAATTTTAGTATAAAGCCAAATTCATTTTATGCTAAACTTACATTAAATAAATTTGGCTTTATGCTAAGCTAGTATAAAGTAAATTCATTTTATGCTAAGCTTAGATAAAGCTAAATTTATATAAATATCTTTAATGTAATTTTATAATCTTTTAGTACTTTAAAAAATCTATTAGAAATATTTGTTCCATCATGATTTCTACTTAATAACCCAAAGTCAATTAATATTTCTTGAAGGATCCAATTGTCATCTATATAATGAGCTGTAGCAGAAATAAAGACTTTGTTGTTATGGGATGTTCAAAGGTCTAATGTAAAAAAAATTCTAGAATTTATAGCAGAAAGGTATATCTATAACTCTGTAAGTATTAGTAAATAATAAATATATATATGAAATATAAATAAAATAAAATAGTTTTAATTAAATAAAAATAATAAATAAATCATTTTAAATAAATAAATCTAATTAATAAATAAATAAATAATTTAAATAAATAAATAAAAAATAACAATAAATAAATAATTTAAAAATAATTTGATAGATTTTGTAAAAAAAAATAATTTAATTAAATATATAAACTTATATAATAAGCTTTTCAATTAAATTTAATATAATACAGTTGTTTTTTTATACAGTCATCTTCTATATAATCATGTCCTTCTTATAAGCATTATTTTTTAAAAAATTATTGGCGATATATTTATTAAAAAACTTTATACAATTGCATTGTTATTAAAAATTTATAATTATATTTTTTTATATAAAAATAATAGCATGATTATAAAGAAAGATGACTGTACATTATAGCACTCTAGATTCTCAAGATTAAATTAAAATAAATTAAAAAAATAAAAATAAAATAAAAAAATTAAAAAAATTAAATTAAAAAAAAATAACAATTGTAAGCTTGCCTTTAACTTATTTTTTTCTAAATCATAAAGTAATATTATTGCTTCTTTAATTGTATTAGCTTTAACTAACTGTGTTGTAAAATTCAAATATTTTATAATTTCAATTAATTCAGAGTCTTCAATTATATTAAATGGGTATTAATGATTAATAATCCGGACAGAAAACATATTACAAAGCTTTATATTATCAATATCAACCAATGTTAGGTCTTTATAATTCTATACAATATTTTTCAAATTAGATTAACTTAAAATTAATAATAATAATTCAATAAAATAAAATAAAAAAAGAAAGAACTAACTAGAGTTTTGAAGTGTTAAGTATGATACTATTAAAACATAATGTCTGTATCAGGCATTATGTTTTAATATTATTGTATCTAGCACTTCAGAACCCTAAAGCTAACCTTTCTAAATGCATCCTCAACAGTACCACATCTATTTTGTGTT